TATTCAATATTGCTTGCGTGCTCGCATGAATCTTGTGAATCAAGGTGCATGCGAGGATCCAGCAAGTGCGCATGCAGCATGCACATGCATGACGCGAGATGCAACGCTAATTGAGATGCACACCGCCGGGGCCATCGCTGTGTACCGTACTGGATATGATGCGACTTGCCCCACTCGTTCAGCGCAATCCCCGCGGGCGCTGCTTCCTCCCGACTTCTTATGGTTGTTGCCCCTACAAATGTCAAGAGTGTCGCGGAGCATCCATATGAAATTCGAGCAATTTCAAAGTCGATTGTGAAATAAACTTCATGGCATAGAGCGCACACTCGGACAGTTCTCCGTTGAGATGATGACGCGATGCGTGCGGGTGAGGCTTCGATAGCAAGCACGACTCGGAGGTCTATAGCCAGCATGATCCCTTGTCAAGACATCCGCGGAAGTCGTTTCCTATGCAGATGCCCCGTGCGATTCTCGACTCGAGCGTGATTCTTGTTCGCGCTTGCGATTGCTACGCGGCTGTCAAGTGAACGTGTCGATGTTTCTCCCCAAGACTGATGGCGGGCGTGCGTGCTCCAGCATTCGTAATCTCTTTCAAATTGGATTTCCGAATAAGCCACCTCATGGATCTCGGCACAAGGAGCCGCCGGACCGCGTGACTAAGCGGCTAGCTGTTCCAATTACGGCGTGACGAGATGGTAATGAGAAATGCAGCGGTCAAGCGTGCAGGCCTCATGATGCAGCAGCAACCGCTCCCGGAGTCAAAAGTCACGCACGGCGCTGACTATGAGAGTTGGAGTCATCGAGGCTTGGAAGTCTGATGCGTGCTGGCAGCTAAGCAAGCAATCAGAGCATCCGTCCCGGACCGACTTTGATGACCAAGCCGTTTCAGGCGCAGCTTTGCTACCTAGAGTCATCGGTATCGTATGGGTCGGCTCACCGCCCTTAGTACTCCCTCCAAGCTCAACCATTTGCTGCTGATGAGCACGTGTCGTGTCACAAATTATATTCATCACATGTCCGTCGCACCCTTCAGACCACCCACCTCTCACGATGACGTTGCCCCAGATGATTCGCAGGGTGCAGGGGTCCGCTGCGACCATGAGCGACGGCATGGAGAAGCACGTCATCTACGTCCTCACTCTTACTCACGACTGTGCCGGAAGCTACTTCCTGCAACAGCGTATCTTGTTGTGCTCAGAGTACCGCTAGCATGCATTTCCAGTAGCGATTGCGCGCACGGACTTCTCGCAACTTGCCTGCCGATGGCAGGCCCACGCAGCCATGCACGGGGATAGTCATGCCGTTCGTGAATTTGGTCAAACAGGACGCGTGGCTGCATTTGAATGAGTCGAATCTTGATTGTCGTGCACAGCTTCGGCTTTCTCGATCACCTTCGCGATAGGCTCGGTATCTGACGTCTTCTCCGCATCGACCTTCACATGACGCTCATGCAAGGTCATATGGACTGTGACTCGATGAGGCGTGAATGTCAGTCGAGTAGCTTTCCGAGATCGAGAGGCCAAGCCTGGAAGATGAATGGGATGGCCAAACTCAGTTCGTAATTGAGCGCAAATCGGGGTGGCCGCCGGAGCATGCAGTGATGACATAGCTCTCGGACTGATGCCCGCCCCTCCCGCGGCCTGCTCGCCCTTACCACAGTCCTCTATGGCGCTCTTTCGTGGCAGAACCTCGCAGTTGCCAAGACTGCGTCGGTACGCGTGTCCGTGGGCCAACGTGGACAAGCAAGCTTGAGTGCGCCATCATTCTGGTGGTCCGTCAAGGATCAATAATGAATGACGTGTGCGTGCCTTTGCAGCCTTGCTCCTTCGTCGAGCTGTCAGGCCGCTCGCTGGTCTGGGTTGATCATACGTGTGGCAAGCTTTGTGCCGCGCACCTGCCTGGTGCTGGTGTGCAGGACTCAAAGCTGAGCTCAGAGCTCGACCCAAAGTAAAGACGCATAAACCTCTCCGGCATCTCTGAAGCGTCCGTACCTCAGCGCAAAATGTCGACACTCCACGATGCATGCCAGGTCCACTTCGCTGTCCTCTTCGGTGTTTTGTCCATAGGCACCATCACCGTTCGGGAGGATATCGTGGCTCATCAAAGCCCTGATGAACCTGCAGAGCTTTTGGTGTTGGCGCACAAGTCTAGTCGTCAGCGAGTGTGCTGATGCAAGGTACGATGGTGCGCTTGAAAGCCGATGCAGCGCTAGACTCACTCTGCTGACGATTTCTCCTACGCGCTCTTGGTCCATCTCGTGTTTTTCTTCGGCTTGCTCCACGTGCGCTATGACGCTCGCCAGCCAGCCGCCGAGCGCGATGGTTTTGCTCAGCCGCTTCAGTGTCATCGTGACCTTTTGGTCGTTTTGACTAACCGACATCTCTTCTTCGGACGTGAGCAAGCGCATGAACAGGTCCAGGGAACGCAAGCTCGGCTCTAATTTCGCCAGCCCAACAAGATGAGGAGTCGCTCTTGCGGCTGATCGAAGGGAGGTGATGAGCCGGACGACCAGCGATGGTTGGTTGTGCGACGCAATGGAGCACATTTCCTCTGGTTGAATCAGATCGGACATGTCCTGTACGGCTGTGATCATGAGAGTCAAGCTCTGCAGTACGAGCGAGCGAGGCGTGAGCGATGGGTCGGAATGTGGAAGATGCATGCGAGCAGAGCTGCTCACCCGCGTCTCACTAAGATTCAATGCCCTTGTGCGAGCAGCAAAGATCAGGGCCATTGCCTCTTCTTGCTTACCAGTAACATCTAGCCTTTGAGACGATCTTCGCTCGGCTTGCTCAATCAAAGCGAGAGCAGAAGATTGGCCGAGCCGAGAGAGTGTAGCGGGATCAGCTCCGAGGATCCTGTTGATGACGACATTGACAGCCGGATGTCGTCCGCTTACAGAGCGGGCTCTAGCGGCGATCAAGGTCGCGAAAGGATGCAGCTGTATGGGAGCTGCGCTGTATGGCCGATGTAGGAGCCAGGCAATCGTGACCATGAGAGCTGCGGGCAGGTGGGCATCGCCTGCACGTGTCCTGTCATTATGTAGCATGTCTGTCAGACCGTCAAGCAAGCTGAGAAGGCTCATCCGAGCGTACAGATCGTGCGCATAGCTGGGAAGTTGCAGCGAGCAGAGAGCTTCCTCCTCCTGACCATGATGCAGGATGATTTGGCGAGCTGTCGCCGACCATGCCCTTAGGGATGGAGGAAAAGTTGACCGGATGGACCCGGGGCTGGAGCTACTGGCTGCAGCCATTCCAGGGCCTTTGTGTGAGGCAGAGCCGTGGCAGAATTTTAGGCCACGTTGGACTTTCTGCAAGTCGTGAAAGTCGCATGTCAGGTGGAAAGAGTAAAGTGAGCGTGTCAGTCTCCCGACTTGAGTTGCTGCTTCGAGTGTCAGCCTCCTTGTTGGTGTGCAGGCCTGGGTTGCTCAACATTCCCTTCCGTTCCGCAACGGAGCAGAATGCGCGCCCTGCGCCAGCTCTCAAGCCTGAACACGTGACACAGCAAAGCGTCAGCGCGATCAGACCGCGCCGTTGTGGCTACCGTCGTGCCGCCTTGGAGCACCTGCTGCATGGCTGCCCTTGACACCCGTGATGTGCGAACACCATCCGCTCCCATATCAATTGACTCACCCGATCCATATTCGTGATCCGTGATTGGACACTTTTGTGTCGCGCTGTCACAGAGCTACCGCTTGGAAACGCTGCCACTGCGCAATGGGAGTCATTCGAGGCCCCAGCTTGGCGCCCCTCGCAGGGTCCTCTGCCACCGCCTCGACCTCCAAATCTGCTGCAACGTCTAGCGCTGCTTCGACTGCCCAGTCGACCACCAACGATGCTGCATACGCCTACGCTTCCTTGACGTTTCAAGAAGTGCTGGAAGACTTGTCCTCGCGATTTATCGTCAATCTGCCCGCAGAGGAGCTGAGCTCCATCGAGAGGATCTGTTTCCAGGTCGAACAGGCGTGAGTTGGAGCTGAGGAGTGACAGGAAGGGAGGTAGCGCTGCAGCGCATGCTGGACCAGAGACACGGCGCTTTCATGAGCGCAGATGCAGACCAGGAAGCAGACCGAGACTGAGAGTGCCTGATTGCTATCGCCACGCCTGCATAGCCATTGGTTCTACGAAGACTTTTTGCGACCTATCAATCCCTCGCTACCCTCGCAAGGCCTGCGGCGCTTCAGTGGTTCTCTGCTGCAGGCCTCTGCACAGACCGTGCCTTTGATCCAGCAGTACACCTCGGGAGGTGCTCTGGATGCCGTCTTTGACGATTTCATGAGGTACAAGACGAGGGTGCCGGTCTGCGGCATCGTTCTCCTCAACACGACGTGGGACAAGGCGAGTGTTCATTTATGGACGCGCGCTACAGAATCTGTCGGTGCTGATGTGATATGTCTGTTTCTGCAATGCCGCAGTGCTTACTGGTCAAGGGCTGGAAGTCATCATCCGCCTGGGGCTTCCCCAAAGGCAAGATCAACCAATCGGAATCGGAACGAGATTGCGCTGTCAGGGAAATGCTGGAAGAGACGGGCTTCAATTGCGATGAGCTGCTGCCCAGCAACAGCGCTGAGTACATGGAACTCACTATGCGAGAGCAAAGAATCAGACTTTACATCGTTCCAGGAATTGAAGAGGACACGAGATTCGAGACTCTGACTAGAAAGGAAATCTCAGTGAGTGCCGCATAGCAGGCTTCAATAGCAGCGTGACAAGGTCGTTTGCACGGCATGGTTTGCCAAGCATTTGTGCGAGGTGCACAACAACTAACGTTCTAGCTCGACTCTTGTGACGCCCACGCAGAAAATCGCGTGGTTCAAGCTCTCGGATTTGCCGACGTGGAAGAAGCACAAGGAGCCTGCCGCAGGACTCGGTGGCAAATTCTACCTTATTTCGCCTTTCGTAGGCAAGCTAAGAGCGTGGATTCAGGATCACAAGCACGCTACCTTGGGCGGCGATGTCTGGGCAAAGAGCGATCCGCTCGTGGAGAGCGAAAGAGTGGGCACACCCACCGCGCCCAGGGCCCATCGGCCGCCAGCAGGAGCGCCGACAGGGCCTCGCGCGCAGAGGAACGGCAAGGGCAACTCGCCGGCGACGATGAGAGACAGCATGGAGGAAAAAGCCGTGATGCGCTTAGATCCTAGCTTGCTCTTTGGAGATGCTAGTCAAAGCGCTACTCCTGCCTCCGCAATTCCCCCCACAGGTCAGGTCATTTCTTCGAATGGTACTGGGCCAAGGCAAGACGGAGGCCTGCTTGCTTTGCTCGGTGTGGCGCCGCCTCAGTACGATGTCAGTGCCGGCACTAGTAAACAGGGCAGCGGCCCTGGCTGTGGTGTGACAGGCAAAGGAGTGGATATGATAAACGCTGCAGGTGATCAGAGAGGCCGCGAACTGCTCGATCTTTTGCGCGCTGACAGCGGTGCATCGGGTCATGGGACGCGGACTCAGCCAGGAGCGCCCGCTCAAGAGCTCGACGAGCGGGAGCAAGGCACGCAAGCGCTGCTCGCCGCCCTCAACCTGGGCCCTTCTGCAAGTGCTGGACAGAATGCAGCAGCGCCAGCGCTGCCTTCAACGACCTCTCCATCGAGTGAGACTGTCCGACGGCATCGCGCTGAACCATCGGCGCTGTTGGCCCTTTTGCGAGGAGAGGTTCCCCCGAGCCGGACGGACACGGGTCTTGGGACACCGCAACCAAATGCGCTAGCTGACAAAGCATCTGGAGGGAATAGCACAGCTACACCTCTACCTGCACCACGAGCTCAAAACACGGCTCATGCTCAGAGCCTCCTCAACATGATCGCAGCCAAGAGCTCCTTCTCTTTGCCGGGTCCGTCAGGTCCAAGCGATGCACGTGCAGAACAACCCGTCTCTCCTTATCCCGACAGCGTGTATCCACACTTGGAGCATGCAGACCCTTTTGGCCAGGCGGCATCGAGTCAAGAAGAAGCCGCACGGGCAGTCAAGAGAGAGGCTTTGCTCGCTCGGCTTGTGCAACCTGCAACCTCACAGGTACAAAGCCACTCCCAGCCAGCTGGTAATCACACAGCACTGCCGTCCGAAATGCAGAGCCCTTCTGCCCCAGACTTGGACCTTTCCAGCGTCGATCCCGCGCTACTTGCCAAAGCTCTCGGACTCCCATGGCCTCTGCCGCCGCACCTCGCAGGCGCCAATCCACAAGAAGCTCATCAGGGCCACATTGTACAGACGCCAACCAAAGCTGCGTCGACACAAGCCAGGAACCCCGTCTCCCCACACGTCCAAGAAGCCAGCAACTGGTTGGCTTCGCTGCAGGCTCAAGCGGCGCGACAAGCGCCTCAGAATCAGACTGATCAGCCTTCGTCGAATTTGCATGAAAGCATGCCGACGCACCAGCTCCATCCCCAGATGTTGCCACCTTTGCCTCCTCCGCCTCACATCTCTCAGCTGCAAGCCTCACTACCAATGATGGAAGCGCGTGCGCATGGAGCGGACTTTCGGAGCGCCCCTCTTCAACAACCACCGCAACACCTTCTGTCGCCGCACCACGGCCCAGCAATGCCAAATGCGACTCATGTCTCGCTTCAACGTCAGCCACCTCTTTCCACCGGAGGAGGAGCTCAAGCTCAAGGCGTCGGAGAATTTAGATTTCCTGCGCCCGGTAATCTGACCGAGGGCCCCAAGTCGGTCGAGGCGCCGAAGGCTCTGAGCCCCTCTGCTGCACCTCGGCAACACTCGGTTAGTGGAGGAGCCAGCGATTTGCTGGCGTTGCTCAACGGAGGCTCGAATGCTTCTGCTTCAACATCGCACTCTCCCTCTGCTCCTCTTGCACCCGCAACAGCGACATCACACTTGCCCTTGCATCTGTCTTCTCCCTATCGGCACCCACAGCCGCCACCGTTTGCGCCGCAATGGTATAGTGTAGCGCCGCCTCCGCCTCCTCTTTCATCGCATCCTCAACCTCCACCTGCGCCTTGGCACCATCCTCCGCCTCCAGCCCGAGGAATGCTACCGCCTTTCGGGCTTTCTCCTGGAACGCAGCCACCGCCCGTCTACGCCATCAACAGTCAGCCCGCTCCACCCGGCGAGCCTGACTTCGGCCCATCTTTTGCTGGTCAACCTCCAAGGACGCACGGCTAGCTGTCTCACCTTGCCGGCATGGGCGCGCGGCTCGCTAATCCTCGCTTCTTGCTGATCATGTTGTCATGGGACAGAAATGGGACATCGTCCAAGGTCTGCACACGTAGAGTGATTCACTGTGAACCGAACAAAAGCGGGCATCAACGAATGAAAGATCAGCAAATGTGAGCCGTGGGTCGAGCATGTGTGGTGTGCTGCATGATTGAGAGAGACACACGAAGGAGGTTGTCGGGTAGGGGCCAAGCGGGGCGGGCGCAGATGAATCATGAGGGAGTCAAACGAGCGAGGAATATGGTACACAGAGAGAGAGCGACCGATGGTCAGGACGATCACTGGGATCACACTTTCGTGCCGTTTGATTGCGCCTGAGTCGAGGTTGTCGTGGCAGGAGACGTCTTGCTCTTGGCGGCAGCAGCAGCAGCGGCCATCTTTCTCTTCTTCTTGAGCATAGCTGAAGTGCCAATCGCAGAGGGAAAGTCAAGCCAGGTCAGCCGGGAACCTTTTCCGAGCTTAATGAAGGAGCACTCACCGGTCGCCACCGCGCTCCTGACGCCTTCTACGATCTCCCTGCTCTGTTCCACATACTCGTGATCTTCCAATCTTTGCCTTTTGCCGTTCTCGTTGCTTCCGTGCATCTGCGTCTGCCTTTCAGCAAGTCCAGCAGACGATCCTTCGCCTCGATCGCGGCGCTTGCCATCCGCACCCTCGTCCGACCCCAAAGGTGACGATGCGCCGCCTTCCAGCTCGTCCCCGTCCTCAGCCAATCGCTTGGCTGCCTCGACGAAATCGGCCTCCCCTCTCGGCTTGCGACCCAACATCTTTTCCAACTTTGCATACTTTTTCGCCTGCGCTTCGTTCAGGGCTGCTTCGCGAGCTGGGGCTTCGGCAATATACGCAGCCAGTCTAGCGGTGAGAGTCATTCGGAGGGAGAGTTGATGAGCATGCCTGGGTACGGACGCATACAGACAGGGTGTCCCCCGAGCGAGCACGCTAAGCACTCACTGCTTGGCCTGCTTCATGGTGCTGAGACGTCTGCCATTCAGATCCCTGCACGAGTCCGTATTCTGGTCTTTGCCTTTGGCGCTCATCTTGCCACCCTGCGCTCGGAGCATGCTTCCAAATCCACCTTTGCCACCCCTCAAGCGCGATCTCACTTCGAGCTCTACATGGCTCGCCCTGCCATTCGTGTCTCTTTTGACAAAGGAAGACAGCGAGCGACGTGGACATGGTGATAGGCCATTCGGAGTCGTGAGACGAAGAGTGCAAGCCTTAAAACAAGCGTTCAAAGAACGCGAAAGATCGCCTAGCGTGAGATGTCCTGGGAGAGAAAGACTTAGTGTGGATGGAAGAGGAGCAAATGCGCGCAGCAATACGGAGACGTTGCTGCTGTTCGACGCAGACTCAAAGCCGCAGCCTGGACATTCAAACAGCATCATCGAGCTGGGCGCACCGTTGAGTGTTTTCGCTGCCATGTTGCTTGAGTGAAATGTCGAGAGGTGTAGGTACGGGCTGGTGGCGGTCGAGCGACCAGTCGGTCCTGGCTAATGCTTGCTTGAGCGTTGGTGACTCAAGACAAACGTACGACAGCGGTGTGCTGCAAAGACCTGCTTGCGTGTATCTGAGGCCCAATGCGAAGCTGAACGACGAGTAAGCGCTAGGTGTGCGAAAGAGAGTGGTGGCCGCAAAGTAAGCGACCTGCTTCGCGGTCGTCTGGTGATGGATGAGATGATGGCATGGGCACGCATGCGTGCACGCTTTGCGGAGCGCGCGTCGCTTCCGGCCGAGAAGTCACCTTGCGTGAGTCTCTCAATCAAGGAATGCCGAGTTGCGCCCCTGCGCGCTGCCTCCATGCTCGCTCAAAACAAGTGGAAGCTGCCGGTATGGCTACGGCAAAAGACTTGACTCTTGGCTCGCAACTTGCTCTCCGCCAGCGACGACAGCCACAACTCAAACAATCTACTTTACTCGACTCGAGCAACTGCCTTTGCCTCGCCCGCGTACATTCGAGCTCACTGATTGTCGACTGGTCACTCGTGCAGCTTGTGTGCCGCGCCTTTAGATCTTAGCATTCACCCCGCTCACCTCACGCTTGCACGATGGGTCGATATGCTGTGTTGGTGACCGGTCCGGCGGGCAGCGGCAAATCGACCCTATGCACTTCCCTCCTGACGCACGCCCAAACCACGGGTAGGAATCTACACCTGTTCAATCTGGATCCTGCAGCCGAAAACTTCGAATTTAAACCCACCGTGGACATTAGGGATCTGATCGGATTGGAAGATGTCATGGAGGAGATGCAATTGGGACCTAATGGAGGGCTGGTGTATTGCTTCGAGTGAGTCTTGTGAGGATGAAAGTGGGGCTGGGATCAGCATCTCATAAAGTGTCTGCCGCCCTCGTGACCAGATACTTGCTAGAGAATCTCGACTGGCTGGACGAGCAGCTGGGAGCCTTCGAGGATGATTACCTTCTCATCGACTGTCCAGGTGAGCCCTCTTCTACGCCGCATAGCGTGGCATCAGTATGCATTCCCACCCTTCTGAGCCCTTTCTCCACTCGCGCTCGAGGCAGGTCAAATCGAATTGTACACGCACACGCCTCTCATGACGCGCTTGTTGACAACGTTGCAGCAGACCTACCAATTCCGCCTATGCTCCCTCTACCTCGTCGAGTCCAATTTTATCGACGACGTCAACAAATTCTTTGCAGGAACGCTGAGCGCTATGAGCAGCATGATCAACCTGGACTGCAGTCACATCAATGTCATGAGCAAGATGGATCTGGTCAAGAGGGGAGAGACCGCTCAGAGGACCAAAGGCGGCAAGAACAAGAGGGAGCTTGACAGGTGAGAGAGGAGCGTTCATGTACAAGTGCCGGAGCCAGATGGACACACGCTGTAGCATGCACGTAGCTCATCATTTCTTACGCTGAACTTTCGCTGCAGATATCTCGACCCCGATCCTCTGCTTCTAATGGAAGAAGCCAACGCCTCATCCAATCCCAAGTTTCATGCGTTAAACGAGGCGATAGTTCAGTTGGTGCGTTGGGCTCGTCGTTGACCAGATACCTTCATGAGCACATTGCCTCATATTTACTCTGCTCCTCCCAACACATCAGATCGACGACTTTTCGATGGTTTCCTTTATGCCGTTGGACGCGACGGACGAAGATTCCGTGGGCTCGCTCCTCAGTCACATCGATCATGCCATGCAGTACGGGGAAGACGAGGTGAGTCGATGCTTGTTGCCGTGAGCGGCTTCACTACTACACTGCCGAGCCCGCTTTGGTCCCTTCCTTGCACCCTCGCAGGAACCCAAGGAGCCAAAGGATATGGACATGGGCGATTTCGAGGATGCGTGAGCTACAACAGCGTCGCACTTCAATCCTCTTGCGGCGTTGTCCACAGGACGAACGTGTCTGGCTAAAGTTTTATAGCGCCGCGCGTACCGGCTCCAGACGTCTTGGCAACGATTCATGATCTGCAAGGCTGCCAAACTCGTCAAGGGTGTGGGAAGGGGGGCGAATCCAAATCAACGCGTGTTGCTCTCAACACCTTGCTCGCGCGTTGCAGGATCGCATCAAGACGGGCAGAAGCGCATCTCCCGTCGAGGCTTCATCTGGCTCTCGAGCACCGCTCACCAGGTAGCTGGGGCAACCCTACTCTGCATTCCTGGACCAACAACAGCCTCGATTTCAACACCCTGACTCAGCATCGACGAAAGACATCGTGTAAAACACCACGCAATCACCACACGCTCTGTACGCCCCAGATCACCTGCGGTGGCACGCGCCCATTTTCGACAACGCAAAGAATCATTGCGATTGAGTTTGCCATGAGGTCGGATGAAGTAGCGTGGCATAGATGAATCGGCTCTAGATTGCGCAAAGCGTCCGAGAACGTCTGTTGCGTCAAGTCTGAAGTTTGCATTTACTGCGAAAGAAATGGGATTATGCAGTGTCAGATGCTTATCCTGTTTGGAGGCTGTGCGGTCGGCAGGGCGCCGAGCAGGAAGAGCTGCGCAGAGCTTGCCTGCAGAAACAACGAATCCAAACTCACGTCAAAGAGACCGAAGCCCATCTGGAGAATCAAGCATACGAGGCAAGGGGGCAAGATTTCGAGGTAAGCCAGACTGGGGGCGCCTGTCCAAAGCTTTCCTCTTGAGCACTCACGTCGTCATCAGACTCCTCCTTCTCCTCCTCCTTGGCAGGCGCGGCCTCAGCGGCGGCAGGAGCAGCCTCCGCGGCAGCAGCTGCTGGGGCAGCAGCGGCAAAGGCCGAGGGATCGGCGAGGTAGGCCTTGGCCTGATTGTAGTCGAGGGCAGAGAATGAACAGTCAGCTCATCTCGGCGCTAGACTGCGTTGAGGCGTCGCATCAATCCCCCTGAAAGGTACACGTCGCAAACGCCCTATCATATCCATATTATGTCTGGTCCTCGGCCTGTCGGCCACTCCGAATTTTCAGTGTACTCAAAAAATCCTTTAGGAAGGCCGTGTCTCTTTCTCTGCCCCCTCCATGGATCTTTTCATTTGCCTCCAACTCACCTGGGCAGATCCCTCAAACTCGTAGTCGGTCGCAAGCGACACGGCGAGCAGGTTCTTGTATGCGTTGACCAGGGAGTGGCTGACCGACACGATGGTGGGGTAGTTCAGAGCCAAGGAGATGGCTGCGATCTGAGTGATCCCCTGGGCAAACCTGTCGGTAAGCGTCTTCTCCTCGACGTCCAGAACGCTCGAGTCGAAGATGGCTCCGTTGTCGTAAATTTGCACAACCGTCATTCCGTAGGTGAAGGGAGAGATGTTGAGCATGTTGAGCAGAGTGGCCTCGGAAGAACCAACGCGTGTTCCACCCTCGACGACCTTGACGTCAGACACGATTTCGATGGTACCACGAGCAATCTTGGTAGGGATACCAAGAGCCTGGAAGAAAGAGGTCTTGCCTGGTTCCATACCAGTGTTGCCGGCAGGGACGAAGACATCGGCGGGTGCGTAGGCACCAGCACGTGCAGGAGCAGCCACACGGTTGGCCAGGATGGAGGAACGAACATCCTTGAGATCTCCAGAGGTGAAGACGAAACCGATGTTTCCCTTGACGTGGGGAGCAAGCTTCTCGAGCTCGGGACGCTCGCTGACAATGAGACGCAGAGCTCTGCGGACCATAGTGTTCTTGCCCATCAGCACAGTCGCCTTTCCACGCAAAGACTGGCGAATTTGAGACATTTGGGATGATCCGACATTGTCGACATTGACGATGAAGATGGAAGGATACTTCTCCAGGTACTCGTTCAGGCGAACGAACCAGGCCTCCTTGCTGTCGCGAGAGACACCCATAGTTGGCTTGTGAGGTGAGTTGAGAGTTGTTTCGAGCTGCGAGAGGAAGAGCCACCAGTGAACGCGGACCGGCGGATCAAAGGAGATTAAGGCTCTTCAAGGTTGTGGGTTGTTCAGTATGGTGGTGGTTTCTTGCACCCAACCTGCTGATCTGCGCTCAAAATTGCACACCGCGCTGAACCTTCCCGTGAGTGCGCGGCAAATGCGCTGCGGTGCGGGCCTCACCTCATGCAGTGCACCGTCGCGAAGCGCGACTCCATCGAAGCACGCCACGTGGTCAGCGATGCGCGAACATCACGCTCGCGCCTACATACAGCTTGTGGGCGAATGATAATCACGATTTCACACACATGACTCCCCTGTTCGGCGTCGACACACTCGCCCCGACAACGGCAAGGGGGGTTGTTCGCAATAGGTCGCCTGCCATTGATCAGGCTCTGTTTTGGTGACATGTACAAAAGGTGGAATGCAATCGCGTGACTCAGTAGACGATAAGCTTGCCTGATATAGGGTAGAGCTTTTTCAGGTGACAATTCGGGAGTGTGGCAGTAGCTTCAGTAGCATGGGGTTGGAAGTTCGAAGATGCGAGCAAGCGGTGACGTCAGTCTCCTCTATAACCTCGTGGGGAATTGGCGACATGAGCGATTCTATCCTTGGCGCTGAGCACCTGATCCTTGGATCCGCGAATGATGACAAGACCATTGGAGCCCTTGGGAATGTTGATTTTCGCACCACTCGCCTGCTCATGCTCGCGCAGCGCGCTACCTTGTCTGCCGATCAATCGGGGCACGACAGACTGGTCGACCGTCAAGCGACCTTCATGCGTCTCTGCGCTGGTGCCAGACACAGCTTTGAGAATGCGCTCCGCAGCGGTCTCCAAGGATGCTGCATCTCGCGCCGAGAGTGTCCAGCTCACGGCTGCCGAATCTTCTTCGCCGATGCTGAGCTCGCTCAGCTCGAAGCCTAGATCGTCGAGACCGCTGTCGACATCATCATCGATATCGATGCGTGCTGCGCCATCGAGTGGAGTAGGGCCGTCGCCATTGGCAGTAGTGGAGGCAATCTTGGGAGCGTTGACAGAGACGCCTTCCTCGCGCAAGGAGCGCGAGAATTGGATGAAGAGCTTGCTGCTCAAACTACGCGGCACCTCTACAGTCTTGGTGTGACTCGTAAAGCGTTCCAAGATGTCTTTTGCAGCTGCTTTGCAGTCAGCCTCTTTGCCTTGCAGCTTGACGACGGTACCTTGAGCAGCGGTGGCCAGCTCAGACTCGTTAATTGGCGCCTCGCTCGACTCGTACTCGCGATAGGACGGGAGGATAAGGCGAACGTTGTGCAGCTGCTGAACTTCGCGCACGCCGCCTTGCAAGGAACGCTGCGAGGCAGCAGCAACGACGACGCCGTAGACTACGCGCGAGCCGAGCTCAGCGGCAGCCTTCTCGAGCTCCTTGGCGACTTTTCGCGCAAGATCGCCAGGTCCGCGGATCGTGACGATGTCGGCTGCGGCCGCTTTGTCTCCACGCCTGGGGAACTGGACAAGGGAAGCATTGGCGCGGGGATCCGCCGCCGCTTCGCCAGCTGCGCGAGCTATCAGATCGCGCAGATTTTGGCCGCCTGCACCGAGCAAAAGTCCATGGTGCTTCGCGGGAATGTCGAGCTGGATGGTCTGCTCAGCGTCGACTTCCTTGGCGATCGAGAGGATGACACCCTTGGCAGCTGCGACGGCATCTTTTGTGCCTCTGATCTTGATCAATGTCGTGCCATCTGAGGTGGTATCATCGGCAGCGCGATCCACATCGATCTGAGCGCCAGTGTCGTCACGGAGCTCTACCAACGTAGAATCGACATTAGCGACCGAGATGACGACCGAGACTGGCCACCTACGAAGCACTCACTGTTTACCGTAGAACCTCCTTTGCCCATGATGCGGGCTATGCTCTTCGTGCTGACTGTGATGTTTGTCGAGTGGTTGTTTTCCTTTTCGAACTCTATCAATTCCAATAGCTCGCTTCGAGCGGCCTCAGCACCCTTCTTGCCTCCTCGAATTGTGACCTCGTCGGGCTTCGCATTTGCATCGCCTGCTGTAGGGAAGTTGATTCTGACACCGTACGTGTCTTGCAGACGGGTGACATACTTGCCGCCTTGACCAATGATCGCACCGTGCATGGAAGCGGGGGCCTTGACAGTCAGCAATGTCTCGTCGGCAAGTTGGGCAGCTTGCGCCTGGAGGCGCCTCAATGCCTCTAGCACATTCTCCTTGCGACCAGTGATGGTGACTTTTGCCTTGGTGTTTTTGACAGGGCGCTTGGAAGTAGCCGCATCATCTGCCTTGGCCGCGCCATCGAAATCTACGCGCACGCCCAGCTCTTCACGCAGCTTGGTCACAGCCGCTCCTCCCTTGCCAACCAGATGAGGAACGTGCGTGGCGTCCACGCTGAATTCTTCCACGTGGCCATTGACAATAGCGTCTTCAACGGCGTCCTTGGCCACGCGTTTGAGCTCTGCTACGACGCGCGCCACCTCGCTCGTTGGCCCACGTACTGTGATCGAGTCTTCAGAGGGGGTCAAACCTCCAGTAGCGGACAAGGCCTGGCCTAGCTTCACAGTGACGAGTCGTTCCTCGCCGATGATTGCGTTCAAGGTGGTGCCGTTGGGACCCACAAGCGATCGATGATGTTTCTGCGGGACAGTGATGACTTCGGATTTAAGATCCGCGGCAAGACCGGCAGCTTTTGAGAGCTCCTGCTCGACGACATCGAGCAAAGCCTTCACTTCCGCATCTCGGCCCTTCTTGTCTGTCGCGCCCGAGGATCCATGGAAGACAAGTGCGACATCTGAGCGCCCTTCGCCTGCTAGATCACCAGTCGGCGCTGGTGGGAAGAGCACATCGACACCCCTCTTTGAATACGTGGCGAGTCCACTGCCGTTCTTGCCGATGATGAAGCGATGCAAGAGGGGGTCAATCTCGATCGCTCGAACGGACGCGGGGCTGAGAAGCTTTGCACTCTCGTCGATGCTTGCTCTTGCGGCATTGACAGCTTCGCCGTCTGAGCCGACGATCTCGAGCTGCACTGAGCCAGAGCTCTCGATGATGGCCGGTCTAGGCGTATACACCTGCGCACCAGCAGTCCGAGGCAGCTTGCCCTTTGTCTGCAGCCAACGAAGGATGAGCTTGGCATGCTCGACTCCGCTTCCTGATTGCCCTCGATGGTAGCTGGTGAGGTCGACTACCTCGACGCGAACAGCGTTGGCCTTTTCCATCGCAGCCGTCAGCGCGAGGGCCAGCTTCGTCTGGGGTCCGCGGATAGTGACGCTGTCTGAAGGATCATCGATGGGCGCTAGCTCCACACTGCAGCCTGTAGAAGCGAGAATATCTTGTGCTGCATCGCCGACCAGCAAGCGGTGCTGACGTTTGGGGATGCTGATTTGCAAAGTTCGGAATGAACGCTTCATCTCGTCCACTTGAGATTCAATTGTTGCGACGACGCGAGCTACAAGGTCGCGGTCGCCGGTCACGACAATGTTGAGGTCGCGCACACGAGCTAGCTTGCCTCCGTCCTGTTCCGCTTCCTCCTCTTCCCGATCCTTGGGCGCCAGGAAAGCTGCCCTTGGAGGCACGCGGATGCTGACATCGCCCTGGCCTATCTCGCTCTCGAGGCGCTGGGCGTTGGCGTTTCGAGCACCTGCAATGAAGGGATACAGGATGTGATCGATGTTCGAGAGACGCTGCGTCGTGCGGCTAATGCGTTCAGCGACGAGCGCTTGGATTTGCTTGACCGCAGAGCGCGCATTGATCTCGTCTCCATCGATCGTCACTGTGATTTGTGGCTCTGCGTCGTAGTCGATCTCGCCGCTGGCGGCAGGACCAGGGACTTGAACGGCAGCACCAGCATCACCTTCCTCCGCTTTTGGAATATTGATGCGCACGCCAGTGGAGTCCGTGATTGTCTTGAGATTCTTGCCTTTGGTGCCAATGACGAAAGCTCGTAGAGACGACGGGATCAGTACCGTAAGAGAGACCTGCGGAGGAAGGGGAATCGTTGAAGATCAACCTGCCGGTATCGTTGCTGGTCAGACCAAGGATTCTGACTCACGTTCTTTGCGAGCCCTACAGTGAGCTCTTTGCGAGCCGCTTTGACCTCCTTTTCGTTGTTGCCCTTGATGACGAAAGTAGTGGTGCCGGTCTTGCGCGTGGAGCTGGCTTCAATCTTGATGCTCTTGTACTTGGACTGGATGCGCGTCATCGTCTGACCTAGCTTGGC